TAGGTATGGCGCGCACTAAGTGCAATAAAGAGTGAGTAACCTAAAATTAGGGCCTGGAACCCAAGCTAGGTACTAGTATACTTATTGTAAGAATGTACTAAAGCTACCCTGTAAATACATTCTATAGAAACAGTAAAGCTAACTCATCTCTTAATTCGGCTGTTTTTTAAACTGCTTTGAATTCTTTAATTCTTTTTCCTTGCAAATGGAAAGGAAAAGTCCCTATTAGTAATTTGCCATGTTTTTTATTTTTTTACAAATTTCAAGTAGTTTTTGTGAGATATGGTCCCTTACAGCTAAATTGCAATGTCTTATAGCATTAAGAATGACTACAACAGCCAACTCAGACTTTACACATTTTAAAAATATTGAAATAAGATAATTACACGAGTAACAAAAGCATATTTTCAGTCTACCTCCTTCATACCAAAAACCTTACAGTTGGCTTGATAAAGGTTTATACTTATAAGGTCCAATACAAATTTTTTATTAGTTAATCACCCTCGCATGCATGACTTTTATGGTATTGAAAAAAAAAATTGGGTTTTGTTTTTTTCAAAAAAAAAAAATGTTTCATTAAAAATTTGTAAACATTTTTTATTAAATAGTTTGTAGATATTGTTTGTATTATCTCAATCATGTTTTACTTTGAATATCAATGTACCAGCAAACAACCGAAGGGTGATATTTGGCTTTAGTAGAGTTTAAAAAAAGCCTCCCTCCCATATCACTTTTCCATACTAAATAGGGGGATGAATTAGTATTATTTTCTATAGGTCTTAACATTAAGTTAAACATGACTATAAAAAACCAGAGAGTGATCCAGTCAAATTTTTTTAATATTACTGTTTTACTTTACTTTATGGAGCATCCTTATCTTATTATTGTCTTGGTTTTCCATTTTTACATGACTTAAAAACAAAAAAAACATTTGCCTATTCCTTTAGCATTCAGGAATTGTACTGGAGATGAGTTTACTTGTAATACTGGGTTATGTATCAAAGATAACTTCCTATGTGATGGGTTTGATGATTGCACTGATTCCTCAGATGAAAAACACTGTGGTATGTATTATTTCAAAAACTTTCAATGATTTATCATTTATAATTATTTTATCTATAAATAATAATAAAAATAATTTTTTATTTATATTGCGCATATTGCACATTGCCCCTATATGCTTTGCAGAGAAATAATATAGGCCAACTGAGAAAAAGCAAATAATAATAAAATAAAATAAAAATAATTATAATAACAATAATAACAATGAGACTAAACTACTCCTATTCCTTAAAATAAATTAATGGTTGGCTGTTGACTCCGAGGAGCTCATCCGCCCTTTGTTCAGCTATTGGTTTTTCTTGCTGCTGGGTTACCATAAACACCCTCCCCTCGGCAGCCACTAAGACATATTTGAGAGGGTTGTCAGTTTAGTCGCCGACACTTTGACCGGATGGTGTTTAATGTCGTACCCAGGACGTCCCTAACTACCTTAAGCTAGGCTGAACTATCTATATAGCCATACTAGTATCAATTATTATTTAGCATTAATATTTTTAATAATATTAATGTACTACTCAGTCCTTCTCGCACTAAAGACCAATATCTTACCTCTAACCCTCTTCAAACCCTACTTACAAGATACTGCATTACAGTAATATTGATGATGGTAAATAATGATAAAGCAGAAAAGTTAAAGTTTTTTCCATTTTCCCTAATCACTAGGCTCTGCGAGTTTTTTGTGTCTACCAGGACAGTGGGCATGCCGGAGTGAGATAAAGTGTATCTATCTTGCTGATCTTTGTAATGGTCAAACAGACTGTAGTGACGGTGAAGATGAGAACACTCCATGTGGTAAAGTTTTTTCTTCAATTATTGAAATAAAAAATCCTTAACTTAAAGAAGTGGAAGTTAGATTTTTTAGTTTATTTACTTGGGCAACAATTTGATTGAAATGTAACTTGAATACATTTCTCTGGTTCCGAAGTTGTTATTTTTAGTTTGACAGTTTACTTGGTAATGTAGTGCACTAGGCGCTATTAAAAAAGCTTGGCTTTAAGAGTGTGTACCAAAATATCTTGAAACAACTTCATTTATGTTTTGAAAAATAATAACCTATAAAATTACATTACTGAACAAAAAAATTAATTTAAGCTACTGTTTGAATGTCCTTAGAGCAAGACTGCATGTCATGCAAAAAGTATGGTTGTTTTAGATAATCGTGAAAGAAACCTTTTTAAATTTAATGTTAAAAAGTTTGGGATAGGAAAGTTTAATGTTTGGGCCTAATCTTTGTATAGACTGTTTTGTAGCCTGACCTTTCACTGAAACTTGGTAAAATTGAGAGAATAACAACAATTAGTATTTAATTTCATGAGTAGAACCAGTTGAATCTTGTTAGTATGTTTATTGTTTGCGCTGAATTAGTATTTATCGCATGATTTTAACTAGGAACAATGCTATAGGTCCTATTGTCCTAACGACCAGGGTAATAACATGAATTGTTTAGAGCAATATACATGCACTATATAAGGACAGGCGTTTTTATTATTTATACATTGTTTTCATTTGTTAAAACTTGAATTGCCAAGCAGTAGTCATTGAACCTTCTCAAATTGTTGCCAAGACATAGCTGAAGTGTCATTGGCCTGGTTTGCAGTAGCTTTATTGTGAAACCGAATTAGTTTTCAGACAAACAATGATTTTATCTGGCTGACCTATTCTATAAAATAATGATTATGGTAGTATAGGATAGGATGCTATTTGTGTGTTATTAATCTCTTATGATGCCATATTTTATGGCAGGTTCACATGTGTAATTCAGTGTACTATTGGCCATTATAAGTCAACTGGGAAGTCATTACTGTATATGTTATTTTCCTATCCCAAACTGTGCATTAATTTTTCCTTATTGCATGGTTTGCTTGACCTTTTCTTCGGTTTGTGTGCAAAAGGCCAAAACAACTTGCAAAGTGTATAGGTATTTTTGATGTGAACTTTTATAAGCGTGAATGGAGCTTATTTACAATAAAAAGATATTGGCTTCGCAGTAGATATGAACTATAAAGATTATTTAAAATTGTATAAATATTGACATATTTGTTTATACTCTATATTAGAAATTCATTGAAATAAATTTTTACTCTTTCTTTTGTACATAGATTCAAGAAACTGTGGAACACTCGGTTGCGAGGTTGGTTGTCACGCATCTCCGGAGGGAGGGGTTTGTTTCTGTCAGCTTGGATACATGCTCAATTCCACCAATAATATCACCTGTATTGGTCAGTAGAAAAATTCTCATGCGTTTTCTTAAGCGTTCCTTTTTCATGTTTTGTGGACGTTATAATATTTTAAGAAAGCATGAAACAAATTCCAAAGAAGGTTGTTTGTGTTTATAATTCGATAGTCTATTTCGTGATTTGTGTATTTTAAACTAAATATGTTTATTGGGTATATCTTCAGTACTCTCCCAATATAAATACTCTAATCACTAAATCTAACTTAAAAGTATATTAGTATTATTTTTAATATATTCATCTTAATATTTAACTACTGACAATAATATTTTTGATTGTTGTTTTCTCAGGAACTACTTTGCAAATATTTTGTGAATTAAATATTCATAACTTTGCAAATCAATATGCATGAAATAAATACTTTTTACTTTTTTTTCATGTAGAATTTAAAAAAACCAACAACCCAATTGTGTATTTTACCAATGAATGTACAAAAGGATGATGTTATATTACACCAAAATATGGCATACCACATTTATTTTTAATATAAATCATAAATAAGTTGAACATGAAAATATTCATGGTGTGATGTCATCATGACTATATTTAGGCATGTGACATGTTTTTGTCAAATAAAATCTGATAGCTTGGATAAGACTTTACGTTTGATCCAAATATTTGTACAGATTTTGATGAATGTGGAAATTGGGGATTTTGCGAGCAGGGCTGTGTCAACTCGCCTGGTTCGTACACCTGCTCTTGTGAATCTGGGTATACGCTGAATAATGACAACAAATGTATTCCAAATGGTAAGCACTCAAGGTTTATTTTGATTCCTCTGTTGTGATGCTCCTAAATATCACTCAAAACTCTTCTCTAAGCAAATACCTTTATTGTCATTTCAGGCAGTATTTCTTAATCCTATGCTCTTCCAAGTATTTATTGTTATGGTCATTTCGCATCTTGCATTATTTTGCATTCTTGTTGCTACTGCAAAAAACGCTTATAGCTTATATACACGTGTGCGTCAAGAATGATACGACAGTATCTTTCACTTCAATCTACCCAAGCACACCTTGTAAGTAGGCTTAATTATATAATATATAAACATAACGTAATTATAATATGATCTGGATGTTTAGATGATCGCTTTTGCATGTTTTCTTAGAATAATCCTTGCATGCCAATATAGGATATGAGGACCAATGCTTAAGTCTTGTTAATTGTTATTATGATTAGTTAATTTTGCGATTAGACGGCGTATCGAACGTATAGTTACGTAGGTTATACGGCTTATCATATGTATCGTACCGTTAGTTGGATGTCGTACATCAGTGCATTCATCATTATTGTCATTAGTCCTTTTGAATCTTGGATATTATCTTGTTTCTTCTTGCATGCTGCTGCCTTCAACATGCTAAAGGTTCTGCAACTTAAATGTGTGTGTGTGTGTGTGTGTGTGTGTGTGTGTGTGTGTGGCTGTGGACAGGCTGCCTGACGTCTCCTTTAAATTATGTTTTCAATTTTCTTTTCCTCTACTTGTACATCAGGAAAACATTTTTGTAGGCTATAACTGCCTTAACAATACTTTTTTAAGCCAATCTTTTCCTAGTTTAAGTTTTAAAACCTATAACAAAGAAATTCATGGGCGCAGACTGACGGGGTGTGGGGGACGTGTTCTCCCTCCAGTGATGGCAAACTAGTCCCATTAAGTGGGTTAAAATACTTAAAAATTACCATTAAGTTTTCATTGTAATAGGGATTCATTTCCGCTTTCTCAATTTTTAGACTGTTCAAATTGGAGCTGTGTAGCTTAATTCTAATTGTATTTACTAAGGGTCCCAATTGATTAGCTCAGGCTGGATGGACCACCCACACAAAATATTGTTGAAAAATAAAATAAATAAAAATAAATGCTTGACTTCCAGTTCTAAGTCTCTTGGTTCAGACCCTGTCAAAATACATATAAAATATTGTTTACGGTATACTCTGTCGAAATACTTATACTTATGTTTGTCTTGTGAAACGGAGCGTTACTGATAAGCAAGAGAGCCTAGCTTTCGCTATTGTCAATTCTCAGCCCATGTTCCTAAATAAATAACAATAAGCAAATAAAGTACTATTGGTTCAGAAAAACAAGAAATCTTTGTATATTGAGACAATGTGTAAAGGTATTGTTCAGATGAAAATTCAGAAAATTGTTTATTCTGCAGAAATCAACACTAATTAAAAAATAAGTAAGCTTTTGAAGAACAAAATCTAGACCAGCTCTGTGTCCGGTTCGGTACAGCATGAGATTGCATTTAATTGTAGACTGTTTAGCTATTTTTTGTTGTTGATACAGATTTAGAAAAAAGTTGGTTGGCAAGGATACAGACTATTTAAGGCAAGCTTGTATTTTAAACCTCCATCCCTGATACACATAATCTTCTTTATCCTCCTTGACCTAGATAGCTGTAAATAGTGTTCTTGGGTGTCACAATAGCTTCAACATGTTTGCTAGAGTCATTATATCATTTTTTGGTAAATTATTATAGGTTGTAAATGTTATTCTTTATGTTGTCCTCATAAAAAAAAAATTGTACAGCTACAAAAGGAATTGAGGTTTTTAGTTAGGAGTGAACTTATTAATCTGTCCTTATTAAATAAGACCACAATTCCTGTGTGTGGAATGTAAATGTTGTCATTCCAATATTCATGGTTTAAATATGTGTGATACTTTGATATGGAAGTTGAGGTTTAAATAATCCTGATAGGTCATTTGAATAATTTCCCTCTTTTGCAGAATTACCTCTCCATCTCTTAAGTTATATTTCATATTTTCTCGTATTCTTTTAATTGATTAATTTTATTGTTGTTGTCTTCATCGCTGCCACTATCGTAATATTCCTTTTTCATACATGATTTTTAATTATACTTTCCTATATTTTGCAGCTCCAGATGCATATGTTGTATTTGCTTCTGGAACTTCTATCTACAAAGTTGATGTGGATGGGAGCAACAAACAAGAAATATTGCAAGATGTAAATGGAATTGGGTTGGATGTGGATTATGCTAATAATAAAGTATATTGGACAGACAATAAACAAGATAAGGTAAAATAGTAAATTTATATATGTATATCTATTGTATGTTATATATACCGTATACATGGATTCTAGGCATCTGATAGGCTAAGAAGCGGGCAATAGAAAGTACTATCATCCTGAACGATAGTACTTTTTTGCCCAGTCGCGTGATGTGCAATCTCTAGGCCGCGTTGTTATGTAATTTATGAGATGCGACCTCTGCGACGCTGAGAGAATTGGCCCTTTGATTGTCTAGAGGCCTACTTGGTGTGTACTGTTTTCATTACTTTTTAGGTCTCATTGAAACTATGTATGAGGTATATAAAACAAATATTGCCTGCTCTAGGTTCAGGAAATGGTGAAATCTATTGCCCCTCGGTGATGTAGAAACCGTAGCCTATCTTCCCTCGGGCCTTAGGCTACGATCTCCACATCATCTCAGGGCAATAGATTTCACCTTCATGAGCAGTCAATATTTCTATATTATGCCATTGTTCATTTTCTGAGCGCAGAACAAAGAAGAAACACTTAAATTCTAAATTAAATGCTTAATTTTCAAAATATTTTAGGTTTACAGGAGTGACCTAACTAACCCTTCAGCGGAAGAAATAATGGATCTTGGTCGATCCGTCCCAGAAAATGTTGCAGTTGATTGGATTGGTCGGAAGCTGTACATCGTGGAGAGTATCTCTGACAGAGTCTTCATCTCTGAGTTGAACGGTACCAGCCAGAGCTCGCTGATAATTTCTCAATTGGATCAGCCCAGGGGATTAGCACTTGATCCTAATGTTGGGTAGGCTTTTAAAATAATCATTTTAACAAATCTGCTTTATAAATCATTTCCAACAGACAATTCTTGTGTCGTGTTTGGAGTAGTCTGCAGGACTTCGGTAGGATTACATAAATTATCTGGATTTAGCTACTTCAGCTTTATTATTGTAACAGACTTTGAAGGAAAAGTTGTATAATGATTAATTATTGCTTGTGCAGTTTTATGGTTATAGGAAGCTAAAAAGATTTACTGTAATTGTATATCCTTAAATTGATTACCAGCCATCTAGGATTAAACCCAACCTTTATTATTCATGTGCCAGTTTTTTTGACATACCAAAGTGTAAACATTCGTAATGCTGTGTCCGCATCAAATTTATATCATATCACACGCCTCCTTTTCTTTTCTGTTTTTGTAAAGCGCTTAGAAGCATTGTTTTGTATTAAGCGCTCTATAAGACCACATTATTATTTATTTTTGTTATATGAACAAATCACATGTATTGTCACACTTCCGTAGGATTACATACATTTTCGGGATTTAGTTACTTCAGTTTATTATTGCAACAGACTCTTTGAGGGAAAAATTGTATAATGATTACTTATTGCTTATTGTGCAGTTTCATGGTTGTAGTAAGTGAAAAGATTTACTGTAATGGTACATCCTTAAATGATTACCAGCCATCATTGGCCTATCTAGGAGTAATGAATTAGCTTTTGTTATTTATGCACCAACCTTTTTTTCCAGCATTCCAAAGTGTAAACGCTGATGCTGATTTTGCTTGTATATCATAGCAAATAATGTTCAAATCAACACAAATAATGTAGAAATCAAATAAATAATAATACAGTGCTCAAAGCTAAAGGAACATGATGTTAGTTATAAATCCTATCAAACATAGTTTATCAACGAAAGTTCCGTATTACTTATCACAGTTGTATGAAAAAAAGAGGTCTCTGGTGAGAATAGAAACTAGCAATGTTGGCGTACGTGATAACCATTTAAACTAACCTCCAATTCGAGACCACCTTTGTGACATAAAAATTTGGGTTGGTCTCGGGGTTGGTCTCTAATTAGAGGGCTCGCTTTGTGTTGAAAGGTTGAAGATTACTATTTTGGTCTTTGGAAATGTGGTCTCGAATTAGAGGGGTCTTGGATTGGGGTGCACTGTATATATA